AGTCATAGTCATCAACCTAACCTCACTGAACTATGAATCACAGTCAAAGTCATAGTCATCAAACCTAACCTCACTCAACTATGAATCACAGTCATAGCCATATAGTCATCAACCTAACTAAACTAAACTAAACTATGAGACGACTGTTCATTGTAATCTACTTGTCATTTTTTTTCGCTTAAAAATTACATTCCCTTAAATTTGGCTTTCTAAGAAGACAAAAAAATGTTCGCATGAATGCACACAATTGACACCTGTTAATTATTATGTGTGTTAAAAAAAACAAAACAAAAACAAAACACAATAGTGAAAGTGTAATATTTTTGACAGGCAAAACAAAAATATTGATTTTTAAAAAAATGAATAGACAGATATCAGTTATCATCAAACTACACACTATTATCGTTACTATGTAGTTTGATATTCCAGTGGTCAGAGAACAAAAAAAAAACAAAAGATTTCTAAATTGCTAAACAACAACAGACAAAATATGCGTATTGTTTTGAATTCTGAATTCAAATCTCATTCAATGTCATCATCATCATTGAATGACTGACTGACTTACTTACTTACTTAACTAAATCATATAACCTAACCTAACCGATTCATTCATTCAATGATGATGATGATGATTTAGAAAAAGACACAAGGCATCCATGCGAAAACAAAATCATAACAATAATAACGTTTTCATTAACACTTTTTCAACACACAAACCGATATTTAAAATCCTCAAAACAAAACAATTATTACATAATAATCTCATTCAGCAACAAAAACATTCACTTTTAACCCTTTGTTTGTTTGTCTGTAACAGAAAAAAAAAATGAAATTTCTTTGAAAAACAACAAACAAATTCTAATTTGTTCTCAATTTTTTTTTTTTGAAATTAATTAACCTTAATTGAGAAATGTCTTTGTGATCATTATCATTATCATCATCATCATCAAACATTATAACGACAACAACAACAAAAATGTTATCAAAAAATTATAATCTAACTGCGAATCTAAATATCATTATATCATTACAACAACCACAACAATAATAAACTATATAGTGGTGAAAATGGTATGACCAGATTCAAACATACCCATATCCTATTGTTCGATGTCGATGTTGATGATAATTTGATTGTGTAAGTGTGTGTTTCATCAAGATTCGAAAGAAAATTCAGGCGACAATTTGATCTGAATTGTGCCCTGATTTTTTAAAGTTGTTGCTGTTGTAGACTTTGATGATAACGATGATGATAATGGATGCATGTCAAACCAAACCAAACCAAACCCAATAACAATACCGATGATAATCAGCTTGTTTCATTTTTCTCAATTTTTCTCAAATTATGAACAACAAATTATTATTGTCAATGGAATGTCATTCCTGAAAGAAAGAAAAAAAACATTGAAAAGAATGGGTTTTTTAAATGAAAATATTACTTTTGGGCGCTATATTTACTCATTTTTGATCATCACCAACCGGACTGACACCCATTATCATCATCATCATCATCATCATAATAAAGATCGATATTTGATTAATAACAGTGATCGATAACGGTTATTCATTCATTCATTCATGTTTGATAAACACATAAATAACAATGGGAGAAAAAAATTTCCAAATTTAGAATTTTCAATTCAACGCACAAATATATCTGCTATGGCCATCCATCGTTGTCCTAATTGAATTGTTGTTGTTTATGATGATTGTCGATCGGTATTTTGTTTTTTTTGTTGTTGTTTTGGGCCGAACATTCAAAACTGCTAAGGATGAACAACTACGAAAATATATTCATATGTTGATAGCATCGGGAAGTAAAAATGATTCAATAAACACTAAACAGTGTTTCAATAGGTAATGTTGTTGTTTTGGCTTGATTTATAGAGCATCATTATCAATTGTTTGATAGTATGAAGTGAAAACATCTTTGTCACGTTTTTTTTCTTGGTTGATCAGTTCAATCAATCAATCAATCAAATCAATCGATCAACCAAAAATCAATCAGTGCACATCAAATCGATTTGATCCATTGGTCGACCAGCCATGATGATGACCATTCGATTGATTTTGATCGAAACAGCAGCAGCAGCAGCAGCAAAAGGCAGACAACAACAATCATCGAAAAGATTGAATAATGGTTTTTTAAGTCAAAATTTTGGAAACAAAAAAAAACATTGAATAAAAAAAAGGATCAGGATCGTTCCAAAATGCGCCATCAAGTGACAAGAAATTTTAAAAAATGTTTTTAAAAGAAAAATAAAATTTTATTTGACAAAAAAAAACATTTTTATCATCATAATCATAATCAGTATCAATCAATCATTATTGAAATTCAAATTTACATTGTGGACAAGTAGCACTATGATGTGTTTGAAACCATTTTCGCTGTTTGTTTGTTTGTATATATGAGGAGAAGAAAAATCAAAAATCAAAAATCAAGATCAATTCATTCATTGATACACTTACCATACAAGTTGTATGAAATTTTTTCTTACATTGTGGACATTTAAAACGTGGTAATTGTGCATTCAAACCATACAATACATATAAACAAATCATACATTCTTCCATACTTGAAAATAATTTATCCATTGTAGGTTTTATCATAATAATACCATCCAGAATGGAACAATTCTGTTTTGGAAAAAAAATGAAAAGAGAAAATGAGAATAAGTTCTTTACAATGAATAACAAACACATACCATTCGATTGAAAAATATTGTTAAACGTTGTAACCATTTACGGCAAACATCTTCACTAACACCACTTTTATCAAAACATTGTATTGATAATGTTGTTAATGGATAATTTGTATCGAATGTAAATCTAATACCAAAACTTATTTCTTTCAGCGAATAAATTGCCGATATTTCATGTAATTTTCGACTAAATCTAATTTGAATATTTCCCAATTTCGTTTGATCAACCATTCGGATTTGTTCCAATTCTTTTTCCATTAATAATGGACTAAAATATCGTCTGGTTACATAATCAACTGTTTCTTTTTGTTGATGTTTTAATGAATTAAACCATGAACGAATCAAATTAGCCATATGACAAAGTGATTGATAATAAACAAATATTGCTAAACGACAATTTCGATTTGATTGATATTTTGATCCATTGATTAATCGTAATAATCGATTTGAATCCTCCAGACAATCCAATTGGTTGTAGTTTAAATTGGTGACTTGTTGCTGCTCATCATCAATAGTGATTGATTGCATAATCGATTGTAAATAATTACGATCCACATCATTCCAATCCAAAGAATCATTCATTAATAGAAATAAATTTTTGAAAAATTCATTATATAAATTTGATTCGACCAGATAATTTATCAAATCCGAACGAATATCATCATTATTATTATTATTCTGATTATAATTTTTCAATGGAAATTTTTGTAATAAACGTAGATAAATAGTCCATATAAGTAGATAGGCTTGAAATGTTGTTGTTGTTGATGATTGTAGATCATCAATATTGATTGTTGAAAATAATGATTCTAATAATGCCATTAGAATTTTTGGTGGATAATATCTGTCATCATCATCATCACCGTTATCATCATTATCTTGATTCAAAGATGTTAATTGTGATAAGGTAATATCGGTAACTTCATTCAATGATTCATTCTGATTTTCAACATTAATAATTTTTGATGATGATGATGACCAATTTGCTGATTGACAAGCCAAACTAACTAAATGATATGCAGTAAATATTATATCCTGATCATTTTTCATTAATAATGGTGTTATATGTTCAATAATAAAATTATAATAACCATTATCAGTTTGAAGATAATTCAATTGTAATTTTGATTCATTTTCTGTTGTTGTCGATGTTGATAATTGATCAATTAAACATTTCATACGTTTTTCAACTAAACTATCATCATTATACATTAATAATGATTGATTTAATTCCAACATGGCAATATCTTGTATTGTTTCTTGATCGATACACAGTAAAACTTTTGATAAACTATGTATCAATTCAATAAACATTGGTTTATCCTGATCAAACATATCACTTATAATTATAAATAATGGTAATAACATATTTAAACAATGATATGCAAAGAAATTACGTATCGATTCAATTATATTCAGATGGATTTCATCCTGATGATGATCATTAATCCATTTTTGACTCGAACAAATAAATATCGATAATGATTGAAATATTTTACTACATAAAATGGCCGTATCCAATTGAATTTGATCATCCGGTATGGCAAATATTAATTGACACCAATGTTTATAAAGGGAAATACACATTTGAAATTCATCAATACCAAATGATGAATCATCATTTATTAATCGTTCGATAAATAATTGCAATAAATTTGCTATAAGAAATGTAATTCGATATTGCATTGAATCGGTAATGGTTGGAAATGTTCGTTTCTGTAGATAATATTGACTAAAATTACTTTTACTTAATAATTTCATTACATGTTGGACGTATGATTTGGTTGAATCATTCTTCATTTCGGGTAATTTATGTAGTGCAATATTCAATGTAAATAATAATTCATATATAATTTCATTCGAAAGTTCAGCAAAATTTGTTAAATGTTGGACGATATTAGTTTGATCATCACTTTGATTATCATCATTGGTGGTTGTTAACATTTCAACAATAACAAGTGGTTCAATAATTCGATGTAATGTTTGATCAATAAAATTATCATCATCATCATCTTCAATCAATTGAATCCATTGTAGATTCCAATCAACAGGAGTCATTTTTGAACAAACATTCATCAATGATAAACGATTCGATGAGGAATATTCTTCAATGCAGTAAGCAAGGAATGGCAGTGTTAATTTTGGTTGTTGTTGTTGATCAACATTGAATGATTGAAAAATTTCATCAAAAATCCAATCATTATCATTCAATATTGATTTGAATTTCATTTTACATTCATCATTCATATTGATCATAATCATTTCGATTTCAGTCAACAATTCATTTGATGATGATGATAATGATGACAAAAGATTCCAACGTTTTGATAAAATAAAAAATTTATCCAATAGATAAAAATTATTCATTAATTGTTTGATTGTAATTGAAAATAATTTTTTATAATCATTATTACAATTACAAAAATCAATTAATTTCCGGACAATAATTACAATAATTGAATTGATTTGTAAAAATTTATAAATATTTTCATATTGTTCAACAACATTCCATTTGGATATTTGTTTTAAATAACGATCTTGATCATCATCATCATTTGGATCAATAAATTGTAATAAAAATTCTGTGATATTTTCCGATATTCCATATAGATTATATAATCGACTAAAATCATTTGTTTTTTGAAATTTCAAAGAAATTTCTTGGAATTTTTTATTCAAATTTTCCAAAAATTTCTTCAAAATTTTATCCAATTCTTCATGATGATGATTTTCCAACAAAGAATTATTCAATAAAACATTTATAAACTTTCGAATACGATTTGTAATTGATTCATTCAGGAAAAAATCAATTTTAAAATCCAAAAAATTATCCAAAATGAATGCTAATTGCAAGGCGGTTTGTTGATCAAGAATTTCTTCAAAATAATCATATTTTTCATTCATTAAAGATCGAGTTTCGATGAAAAATTCTTCAACATTTTCAATATAATCAAAAATTCGATCATCATTTTGAGTGGTCGGATTTTTTGAAATTAAAAATTCTGAAATTTTTCCCAACAACATTACGGAATGTTTATGAAAATTTTCGGAAAAATTTTCCAATAAAAATAATAAATTTTTCGATAATAATAATTTCCTATATAAATTCAATAATAATTTTGGAAATTTTTGATAAAAACAATGTTCAACAATATTATCAATTTGTTTATAATGATTACAAAGTTTTTCAATCAAAAGACCAGATAATTTCAATGTTTCATCATCATCTTGATCAACAACATTGATTACAATACGATTCAACAGTTCTGTTAAAATTATTGTTTCAAAATCCATTCGATTTTTATCGATGGTCAATGTTTCAAATACCATCAACATTTGCTGTTGAATTATTGATAATCTAAATTCTTGTTTCATAAAATAATCATCGATAATTTTACGATAATTTTTTAAAGTTTTTCGTAACAAATCAGACATTTGTACATTTTCTATTTGATTCAAATGATTGATGACAATACAGAAGGTAAACGGATCAAGTTTTGATAGAAACAATTTCAAATGTTCAGCCGAATCAGATTCTGATTTAGCCATATCGACCAGATAAATATCCAGAATTTTCGTACCAACAATAATCATATAACGATATTTAATCCATTTTCTATCATCGTTGTTGGTAAAACTTGAACAAATTGAATAAATTTTCAATAACCAATGTGAACAATGTTCATTGAATGGTTGTGAATTTGTTAACGAACCGGTTATATATTGCAAATGGCTTAACAACAAATAAGTTTTACGAATTTTATCTTCAAATGATTTTTCCATTGAAATTGATTCAGATTCGAATAATGTTGTTTCAAACATCAAATTCAATTGATCGATAAGTACATTTAGAATTCGAATGTAATGTGGAAATAGTGTTGGTATCATATCTGGTAATGAAATTGTTTCATTCGATTTTGATTCAATTTCATTCGATTGATGATTAGTAGTATTATTGGTCATCAATAGCAGGCAATTTTCAAATAATTTTTCTCGATTCAAATTCAATTCAATTTGATCATCATTTGGTTCAAATTTTACTTGTTTTTGATCACTACGTTGTTCTTGTTGTTGTTTCAACAATTTCCAAATATTTCGTTCAAAATTCAATTCCGTTTCATTACAATAATAATCGTAGGAAAAATAACCACCACCATTACAATGATAAAATGATTCGGTCATAAAACGTAATATAGCTAAATTATCATCATCTGGATAGTTTGTTAATAAATCTTCATAAACGTTTGCCAGTCGTGTTACCAATTGTTCATTAAATTTTTGCTTCATCAAACGATTAATCAATAGCAAATGATTTAAATAAATCTGACTACGAAGATATAAATCACGTTTTTCATTATTCATTGTTCGTTTCAATAAACAATGTAAATGTTCAATACATGATGATTCTTCCAATAATGATTCTTGCAATGCAAAATTGATTATATTGAAAAATAATTCAATCAAAAATAACATATCCGTTAAAAGGCCAATATTATCAATGGATATCAATAGGTTACGAAGAAATAGATCAAATATTGAATAAGATTGATCAGTCGTCGTCGTCGCCGCTTGATTTTGATTAAATGAACGAATAAAAACCATAATCAAATTAATTTTATCATTAAAATCAATCATAAAACGTTGTTGTTGATAATATTGTGGACAAATTAAACGTAAACCACTAAAATATTTATCCATTTCAAAAGATAATTCCGGATATAAAGCCAAATAACTTTTCAAACCAATACGATCAATACCAAAATCAATAATCGAACCAGATGATTTCATTCCATTTACAATGAATGGTTTCAATATTTTTTCCAACCAATTTGGACGATCAACTATTGACCATAATTGATTGAAAAGATCATTTTGGTTAGATAATAAATGTGATGCTAATAACCATGAAATTCCACGTATTTCAATAGTAGAATCAACCATACCATTCATAATGGTTGAAAAATAATTTCCTTTATATAATTTAAACCATAATAATCGTTGTTGTTTGAACAACGGTTCTTCATTAGAATTATTGCCGTCAAAGAAAAAACTAGTCAATCTAGTAAATGCATTCAATGCTTGAAACGAAGCAATTCTTATATAATCATTATTTGATTTTATTGAATTCCATATTGAACAAATTTTTCGTTCAATTTTTTCCTGTTGTTTATTTTTCAGCAAATCTTTTTTCTTATTCAATCTTTTCTTTTCTTTTCGACTCATTTCTAATTCTTCGAATCGATTTTCCAATGTTTTCACTGTTGTTGTTGTTGACGTTTGATCATTATCATCGGTATTATCATCATCCATTAGACCTTTACAACGAACAAATTCTTCGTTAAAACGAATGAAAATCTTTTCCAAACATTTATAAACATTATTGTTTTCATCGATATTTTTCTTATAAAAACATAATAATTCATTAATCATTGTTGAAATACCTAATAAACAAATACCAATTTGATGATCATCAAACATTCGTATTGAATCAGCTGGCAGTGATGTATTATAAAAAAGTTCAATAGGAATTTTGTTGAATAAAAAATATAAACAATAATTAAGAATTGAATCACAATTATCCAATAGAAAATTAATTGTTTTATCACGTGAAAATAGATATCGAAATACATTCCGTGCTGATTGAAATGGTTGATTATATGCATCGAAACATGAATTCCACATTACAGCCGGCATAGTGATTAATGTTTGAAAAGAAATTTCACCATTTCGATAATCAGTTGATGATTCATTATTTATTGATGGTTCAAAATATTCCATTAATAAATTTTTATCTAATGATGAAATAAATTCATATTGTGTTTCATGACTTGCATTACGTATATTCCATTCTAATGAATTGGCTAATTTTCTATATAAACGAAACCAAAATCTTGCTATATTTAATAATTCATTCGGATTTTTTCGATGACATAATTCAACAAATTCTTCCATTGCTTTTATTTTTGTATTAACATCTTTTTTGGCCATATGTTTGAATATTTGTTGAAAATCTGAACTAATTTCGCAATCGAATGCCGATGTTGATGAATCATTTTGTTTCAAGCCACTCGTACCACCACCACCACCACCACCATCGGTTGCTTTATATACCGAGGATAAATTTTTCGATGCTTCCGAAAATGAAAGAAATTTATTCGTTGTCAATAGACGTGATGCACGTTCACTATTTGATGGCTATTTTTGATGAATGATAAAAGAAAAAAAGAAAACCAAACATGAAACACATTGATTTCTCCCCCAAAAAAAAACAATTCGAATAACATACTTTAACATTTCCTTTGGTACGATTACTCATTTTGGATCCAAAACAAAACAACAAAAAAAAACTCAATGAAAATTATCACAATTTAATCGATTGATTTTACAAGTAAAAAAATTTCATTAAAATTAAAAAATAGAATATGTGGCCAATATTGGCATGGATTATTTGTTTGTTTGTTGCACAAAAGTAATGTACATCATAATCGATTTAATCGATATTTTTTTTTGTTAAAAAAATTCGAATTTGAATTCGAATTGTTCGATCAAACTAAAGTTCCGTAATTTTTTCAATTCTTTGATTTTGTTTTTCTTTTGTTTTTGTAATCTTTAAACAAACTTCTTCATTTCTAATTCTCTGTTTAATGAAATCTAAAAAAAAGTTGATTTATTTAGGAAAAAACTGTTTTTTTGAATTTCTCTCTGTGTGTGTAGATTAGGATTTCAAGTTTACCAGAAATTAATCAATCGAATAATTTATATCAACAACAACAACAACAACAACAAAAGGCCAACCAAAATCGTATGAAATCGCGTTATCTTTTGGCTTTTTTTCATTTGTTTATTTTCTCCAAACCGAAACAAAAACAAAAAAAAAAAAAAAATACATTTCCCTCATCTTCATTTCGTTTTTTCAAGTTTTATTCGAAAGACGAAACAAAAAAAATTCAACGATGACTAAACTCAGCTGATATTTGTTTGTTCATAGAATTTTTCTNAATTGCGTTTTTTTTTGGTTTTTTTTCATTTGTTTTTTTTCCCCAAACCGAAAAAAAAAAAAAAAAAAAAAAAAAATACATTTCCCTCATCTTCATTTCGATTTTTCAAGTTTTATTCGAAAGACGAAACAAAAAAAATTCAACGATGACTAAACTCAGCTGATATTTGTTTGTTCATAGAATTTTTCTCATTTTTTTAAAAATTTTTAAATCTAAAAAAAATTCAAATTTTTTTAATCAAAATTTGTAATCAATCACAGAAGAATTAATTAATTTTGTTAATGATTTTCCCAAATCAAATCAATTGATTATTTGTTTCGGGGCCATATCCTTGACGATGATGAGGTTCTTCGATTTGCTTATTTATTTATTTATTTAGATTAAAAAACTTTTTTAATCATCATCATCGTTGTTGTTGTTTAAAAATTGCATGATGTTTTGGGTGTTAATGAAATGATGAAAAAAAACAGAGCAGAACATACTGTTTGTGCTGTGTCGTGAATGATAATGATGATAATCAAAATCAAAATCAAAAAAACCTGATTATAATCAAATCAATTACAATGACGATGATGATGATTTTACTTGACGCAAACGATCATTCATTCACAATTTGGCAATGCTACAAACCATATTACCAAAAAAAAAGAAAAATTGATCAAATGATATCAATAATGTCCCTCACTCTTTTTTAACTTCAACACTTTTCGAGACAAAGAATAATCGATTTTTTTTTATTTTTGTTTTGTTTTTCAAGTTTTCAAACGACATTTTGTGTTTGTGTATGTGTGTGAAAAGTAAAACGTCAAAAAAAAATCACAGTTTTTGTGTTGTTTGGCTGGTTATATGATGGCTATTGATCTGATATCATCCATACAAATGTCTGTATTGAATTCAATCAATAATAACAATAATAATAATAATGATGAAAATCAATCGATTGATCGATCATCATCGATTCATAATAATAACAACAATAATAATAATTTAACCGCTACAAATGATTTAATTGAATTAATTAAATCAACAACAACATCATTGATTGAAAATAATAATAATAATAATGATTCTAATCATCATCAATCGAATAACCGAATCAACGATAATTCAACAATAGAATCAAATCATCATCATAATCATAATCATTTTTCACTTCAATTCATATCGAATGATTTTCATAAATTACGACGATTATTAAATTATTCATTAAAATATAATAATAATAATAAGAAGAATAAGAATAATAAAACCAAATTAGATTCAATACAAGAATATTCTGTAGAAAATTCTATATCATCAACGAATAATGGTGGTGATGAAACATTGAAAAATCCTGATGATATTGTTCCATTGAATATTTTGAATGATAAAAAAGATTTTGACTGTGATAATAGTGTCAATAATCATCAACAGCAACAAGAATCATTACCACAAATACCTACACCACGATCATCATCATCATCTTCATCATCTTCATCGACTGTAACAGTTGAAACGATTCCATTACCTTATCATCATCATACAAGACAAAATTCTGATGATAATGCTGATGATGATACTGAAATTCTTGAAACGGTAAAAGTTTTTTTTTGTTGATGATTTTAATTAATTATTTTTTTGGTAAATTTTTTGCAGCTTCGTCAAATATTACGAATGTGTACCAAAATGGATCGATCCAAACGTATAACAGCAATGGATGTTTATGAAATATTATCCAGGAAATCCAATTTAATTTATAAAAATTCTCATTCTTTAAATAATGATAATGATGATAACATTATAATCGATGGTTGCGAATCTAAATTATGATGATTAAACGAAAGAAAATGAAATGGTTAGTTTTTTTTAATTTCTTTGAAATCTAGGTTAAATCTTTACACTTACCACACAGATGCCTGAACTCAATTGGAATTTTTCATCGACAAAAAAAAAATTAGTTCCTTAATTAAACAAATGATGGCCAGGTGAATGAATGATTTGACATCATTTGATTTTTGTTTGGGTTAAATCATCCAGTCTTCCAGAAAAATCTGCTCATCTTCAAATATTCTTCTTCCTGGTTTTTTTTCTTTTGATCTTTCTAGTCAACCATCCAAAAACAAACATCTGGAATTTTCGTCGTTTTCACGAATTAATTGCACGTCATATTTGATATAATTTAAATTTTTTAAAAAAAATAATAATTAAAAAAAAATCATGACCATTTCCATTGTATAATAACCTCAAAAACAACAACAAAAAATTATAGTGATTATTTTAGTAATGATGGGGGTTTTTTGGGAAAAAAATCGAATGTAAATTTTTTTTTTCGCAAACGAATGTTGTTTTTGGGTAGTGGTGGTTTGGTGGTGAACTTGACGGTGTGTGGATGATGACAACATTTTTCTTCTTTTTTTACATAATAAATGTCGGTCGATGTTTTTTTTGTTGTTGTTGTTGGTTGATGATGATCATCATCATGTTGATGTAATAGAAGGCAATCGAAATGAGGCACACACACACACTGACAGACAGACAAAATTGTCTTAACCATCATCATCAGAACAAATGGATTGAACGGATATTTCATCAATTTGGTCATTAGCAGAAAACAAAAAAAAACAGATTTTTTTGTTCTCTGTTCTGTTTTTCTGTTTGGTCTTGTCTGGTTTTTTGTTCATTTGGTTCGATGTTTTAATCACCAAAAAACAATATCATTTGCTCTCGGTTTTATATAAAAACATCAACAAAATTCAAAATGTTTTGACCATTTCAAGATTATTTTTTATCTTGGTTGACCAACGATCGGTGTTTGATTGTTTTCGAATATTTTGATTTTTGTCCACTATTTCGACTTCCGATTAACGTGGTTATTGCCATCATATTGCCTATTTACACTGAATTGGGTAAGTTGTTTTTTTTTGTTGAAATTTTTTATTTGAAAAAAAAACATTCGAATTCGAAATTTTGTTTTTTAATTATTCGAAAAAATCATTAATTTTGTTGTTGTTGTTGTTGTTTCAAGGACTAATTATGATGATTATTTTTTTTAATCGACAAAAAAAGGTGTGATCTTTTTCAATATAGAGAAAGAAAAAACCATTAAATAAAATTATCATCCATGTCATCCAAACTACAAATTGATTGAACCAACAAAAAATAATTAATTAGTTTAGTTTCAATGTTAATAAACTATTTAAATGAAGAAGATGAAAATTTCTATTTAAATTGAAATTCTGATTGATTTTTTCGTCTTCGTCGTTTGTTCTTAATGATGAAAATATCATATGAATTGAATGTTGATGATTATAATGATGATGCAGAAATTCATTTTAGTTGATCATTTAATTCACACACACACACACACATCGACAAATTAACATATTAATGGTCCATATTTTTTGTTGTATGCCTGGTCAGTCACACCATTACCATTATTACCACCACCGAATGATCATTATCATTATCAATATATAATGGTAAAATATAAATCATCTTCATTATCATAGTTTCTTCGTTCGTTTTTTTTTGTATTTATAGATTATCAGGCGTCTAGACGATCGATTCGTCGATGATGATGTTGTTTTTTTTTCGATTCGTTTGTTTCCCTCTTTTTTCTTGTGTTTTTTTTTCTTCAACATTATTTTCATTTAAAGCTGTCTTTCTTTCATTTTTGCTTGGTGTGTATGTGATTCATTTAATGTTTTTTTTTCTTTTCTTCAATTCAATGACTTAATATTTAATGATGATGACACGAAATAATAATTTAACCCAAAACTAACCAAATAGATTCATGGTAGATTTTTGTTTTGTTGCAACAAACAAATAATAATAAAAAAATTCTTTCCAATATTATCATCATGATAATAATAATTTAACCACACAAATAATGGCCATTTTATTTATTATTACCATGATGATGATATAATCCATATAATCGATTTTGATTTTGAAAATGATTCATTTCCAAACAAAAAAAAAACCTATTTAGAAGAAGAAGAAAAAAATGTTCATCTTAAGTACATCGTTGGTCTGGAGAATTTTACTTACGTTTTTTTTCTTCTCATTGGTTTAATATCCGCCAATATTTTTTTGACATAAACACACACAGAGTCTGTGTTTGTGTGTGTTGGTGGAATGGATCCAAATTATCAACGATAAGAATAGAGAGGGAGAGATCGGCGGAGAAAAAAAAGGTGTGCTTTTCTTCACTCGATTAATTCGGTTTGTTTGTGTCAAACATCATCATCAGTCGACAACAAATGATGCTAAGTTGATTTAAAGGCAGCAGAAGAAAAAAAAACACTAAGACAAACGACAATGATATGATTTGCAAGTCGTCTGGATGGTTTGGCGAGACGAAGATAATCATGATGATGATGATGATGAAAATAATGATGATGATGATGATAATGGTAACGATGATCCCGAAAGAAAACAAGAAAAAAAAAGAAAAATTTCTATCCAGACAACGAAAGAAAATTTGTTATAATTATTCAGAATCAGAATTTTTCTCAAACTAACAAATTAACTCACTCACCAGACAAATGAAATAAACGATAGAAAAGATACAAACAGGAAAATCAGTGAGAAATCTTTAACTGAATTGTTTTTGGGTCTGTTGTGGTGGTGGTGGTGGATGGATGGATGGTTTTCAATCTTGATCGATCTTATCTTAACAAAATGACAAATTATCGCCCATACATTAATGAATTCAAATACTTTGGTGGCCCTGATGATGATGAAAATTCTTAACAAAATGAAAAAAAATTCTTTCATTTTTTTTGTTGTTGCTTGTTTTGGTCAACGAATCCGTTCACCATTTGTGTGTATTGTTTGATGAACTTGTTTCACGTTTTCCAAAAAAAAAATCCAACTTCTACAAGATATAAATCTTTGTAAAATGTTTTCATCTTTGCTTGTTGTTGATCACTCCATGTGTATCATCATCTTTATCATTCTTTACATTCGGTAGGCGCTAAACTTTTTTTTTCTTCGTTTCTTTTCTTTCCATTCGATAATCAAAAAGTGTGGATATTTTAGCTTTAGCTATTTGAAAAATTAATGGGGGAAAAAACGGGTGGTTAAAAACGATATAAATTTCATACACCATTACATTACTGATAATGTTTTTTTTTTACTAACAACATTCTTTTCATCTTCTGTTTCTTTTTTCTTCAAATAAATAAATGTTTCTTGTTGGCTGACGATGATCTTATAAGGTTGTTGTTGTTGTTGATTGTCTGCGTTTGAAAGACGGGAAAACAAAAAACAGAAAAGAAAGAAAAAAAAACAAACAAAACAAAAAAAAGAACGAAAGAAAAGTCTGAAGAAAATTATTATTATTATTTCATAGTGAAAAAATACAAACCACCAACCAACCGCCAAACAAACAAACAAACACAGCGAGAATATTCGTTGACAAAATTATGAAATAATGATTATGGTCATCGATCATTAATATCATCATCAACATTACACAAACATTTTACCACAATTAATGATGATTAAGACAAGACAATGTTTGTTTGCTTGCCATCATCATCATTTTTTAATTTGAATTTTGTCATTTGATTTTTCTCTTTTGTTGAATCTTTTTGAAAAAAATTTTTGATGAATGAATCGGGTGTGTTTTTGTTTTTTCGTGCAATTCGAATGTCAAAATTGTTTTCCGAGAAAAAAAAACTTTCGAAAAAACTTCTTCCTGTGTTTGTGTTCGATTTCTTTGGAAATTTCTTTCCTATCTGGTGTTTTGTTTTTGTAAACCGAAAAAAAAAATTCTTTTTAGCTGAATTTTTTCTTGGTTTATCATCGATAAATAATTTTCAAATGATTACCATTCGTGTTTTTTGTTGAATTCCGAAGAGAAATTTGCTTATTCATTCAGTTCTGCTCAGTTCTCAGTTGGCTAAGATAATTAAGAAAAAAATGAAATAAATTTCTTGATTTTTTCTTTTTTGTCGAATTTCTTCATCATCATCATCATCGCTGTCGAAGAATAATTGCATCTTTGTCTTGACATTCCACATTCATAATTACGACCATCATCATCATCATCATCCTCATTATCATCGACGATTGTCGTCATCATCATCGACAAACGTCGTTATTATTATCATTTTCATCATCATCATCATCATCATTTTTCTTTTTCTCGTTCTCTTCGTCGTTTGAATCACATTCGATCGTTGGCTTCTCGCCACTCGTATACCACCACCAGTGTTTGTACAAATTCATCGAATCTCTCTTTTTTTTTTGTAAAATTCCAGAATTTTTGTCAGTTTGAATAAAATATGACAATAAAAACATCGATCTCAATGATAATGATGAAAATTTCATCAATAAAATTACCATCATATCATGATGATAATTATCATCAATATAATTTTGATGATAATTCTTCTTCATCAAATAATGATCATCATCAAAAACAATGTTTAATAATTGAAAAAAATCAAAAATTACAAGAAAAAATTCAAACATCTAAAGATTGTTTATTGTTGAAAATTTTAAATTCTTCATTCTATAAATGGGTAATTGATGATGATATGATGAACAACATTTAATGAATTCGATGAAAATTTTAAAAATATCGATTAAATATCGATTAATCAATCATTTTTTTTTTCGTTGTTTTTCCTGTTTCTTTCACTATAGCTAAAATCCTATCATCTTTATATATTATTCATCATTTATTTGATCATAATGATATTATCATTTTGTTTAATTTGGCTGTTAACACAACCACAATCATTAATCATAGCTAATCATCATAATCATAATGATGATGATCAAAATGGACAACGATTATCAACAATAGTATCATTTAATAATGATAGTTTACAAAAGATGGTAAACATGACAACATCATCATCGAATATTATCGATACAAATCAACAACACCAACAACAACAGTTGATTGAACAGGAAAGAATTTTAGCACGTGAAAGGTATGTTTGTTTGTTTTTCTGATTGATTGAATTTTGATTTTGATTGTCTTTTTTTTTCTTCTGAAAACCAAAATAGAGTTAAACAAAATCATTTAAATTTTATACGTGAACAATTGATGCAAATATTATTGGCTGGTCGTACACCACCAACACCAAATAATGTTACTGTTTCATCATTGAATGTTGATGCTAATGTTGTACAGATTAAAAAAGTAGTGGAAAATGGTAATCCACCAATACCATCATCATCATCATCATTATTAACACCGATAACATCAATCAATCCAACAAATGTTCGATCATCATCATCATCATTATCGGAAATTTATGCACAACGTTTACAAAGTTTTTATCCAACATGCAATACGAATGCGGGATATTCTGTAAACATTGATCATCAACAACAACAACGACAAATGGAAATGAAACTTTATTTCGATCTAAATATTCCGAAATTACCGGATAAACGAACACATATAACAATAATGTGGGCAAAATTACGTTTATTCATGATGAAAGGACCTTGTTATCATTTGAATGGTTAGTGTTTGTTTAATGATTAAATTTCTAAAAAAATATTGGTGAATATTCCTATTCCAAATATAGATAATAATGACGAATCATTATCCAAATGTAATGAAGCCGATAATAAGATAATCATTTCATTATATCAATTGATACCGCGACCATCATCATCATTATCATCATTGAAACATAATGATAATGTCCGATTTATTGATCGTCAAACCATATCCGGTTCATATCGTGGTCATATTGATTTTAATGTCCAAAATGTTATTAATGTTGATTGGCAAAATCAATCATCCAATTATGGATTTTTGATTCGTATGGAAAATGGCCTAAATAATCAAATTTCACCATTTCGTTTTATTCAACAGATGAATTGTTCAGGTTAGGAAAAAAAAATTCTTAAATGAAATAAAATTATCTAAAATTAATAATTATTCCTTGAATAGATAATGTATCACCAATACCAAATCTAGCTGAATTATATGGCAAAAATATAATCAATTTAAATCAAACATTCAATAATTCCTTACAATTACAACAACAAGATAATCATCGTTTCAATTATCCAACATTAGATCTAATGACAATGGAAATGGCAAAAGATGAACATAATGATGATATAACACAGATAATGTCACCATCTATGATCAATGTGACGAATCTTCTAAATAATAATAATCGAATGAACGAATAATGGAATTCATTTGACTTATTTCACATTTTTACCCGGTTTTCTTTTTTTTTCAATCAATTCATACAGATTTTACTATAATTATTATACACACACATAATGGATAATCTTTTGCAAACATTACTTGTACATTTTTTTTATTGCATAAATAATAATAATTTTTAAAAGAAAATTAAGTCGATCAAGTTTTATTTAAAAAAAAAGTTATCGATATGGATGAATCGATGTTGCTGATTTGATTTGTGTTTTAATACTTGGCTGTGCTTTTCCTGGTGCCGTTCGATGACCAATATTTGTTGTCAATGATGGACTGGCAACACCGGTTGGTCCGCCCGTTGATCCTGTTCCACCACTGTTGCCCATTTGTGATCCGGATAATAATTTTTGTCCCGATGAAATCATATCAGATCTTAAACCTTTACCATTAAATATAGCAGCCGATAATTGATATGTATCTGTTTGTAAATATGTTTGTGGCATTGGATTACGGCTATCATTTTCCCATTCTTCTTTATGACTTCGTATTAAATCAACCATATTCTGACTAATTTTATTAGCCGTTTGAATTTGTTTCTGTGCTTGATCATTATTAATGGAATTGCCTTTTGTTGCAAATAGATTTAAACGATTTTCTAGCTCAGGTTCCAATTTAGTTCGTAGATATATTGGTGCTGTATCATGATTCAATGAACGAAGACGTCCTTCAGTTGCATTTATCAACATTTCATCATCATTTGGTGATAATTTTAATGGAAATACTGTTCGTATGGCCAAACTTTGACTATGTGATCGTACAACTTTAAGAATATTTTTTAAATATCCTTGAAATGAAGCAAATGCATCAGCATAATGATTATATTCTAATTGTTCATTATCAGTACGATTCATAAATAATGATAATGCTTTCATAAGATCTTGACTTCGTTGAAGTAATGAATCTAAAACCATTTCAAATTGACGATCTTCACGATCCATTATTGATTTGTTTAATTGATTTTTGTTTCAAAATTCACAATTTCACAATTTGTTTTGGCAAAAATCAAAACAATTTTTTTTTGGAACGTTGTTTGGTGGCTCGAATATTCATACAGTACGTTACCGAATTTTTTTCGAATGTTCAGAAAATTCTTCAGAAATTCCAAATTTTGATGATTAATCAACAAAACAAAAAAAGAAAAAAGAAACGTGATTTAATTGAAAATGAATGGATTATGAAATTATGATTGAAATTATCAAGTTTCCATAATAATCAATCCATGACTAAATAGGTGTAAACAACAATCGAACACCTTTTTTTTATCGAAAAAAAAGGAAACTGTATAAAAACCAATCGAATCAAGTGTAAGTATCAATTTTATTCAATCAAATTCTTCAACAAAATCAACAATCATAATGAAAATATTACGTTCATTTTTATTTTTATTATTGATAATTTTATCATCAACAAATGGCAATGTAATTAAGCCTAGAGCTGGTAATGGTATCGCTGAAAGTGTAGGTGGTCTTGTTGGCGGTTCAATTGGCAATTCTCTTGGTAGTTCGATTGGTAGTTCTCTTGGTAGCTCAATTCCTGGTGCTGGATCATCAAATATACCTGGATTATCACCTGTTTTAGGTGGAGCAGCTCCAGCAGTTGCAGCTCCAGTATCACCTATTGGAACAGCCTTACAACTTGTGCCAGGAATGTCTGCAGTTGTTGGTGGTGGTGGTGGTGGAACAGGTGGATTAACTTCACCTATCGGAACAGCTTTACAACTTGTTCCCGGATTATCATCGGTTATTGGTGGTGGTGGTGTTGGACAAGGCCATAATCGTCCATTATCACAATTGGTAATATCATGGAATTTATTATATCCATCATCATTAATCAAAACAGGATAATTTCCAAATTTGAAAACAACAACAATTAAACCACCATCAAAAGATTCAAATTTTCTTTTTATTCAATTCAAATAAACTCTATATTAATGATCATATTGCCCCAGCATTTAGATAATATTATTGATTGATTGATTAAAATATTTGCCCCGAAAAATTTTTTTCCATGTGTCAATCACGAATTTTGAGAAAAAAATTATCACATACATAAAAAAATGATATTTTCATCCAAATGAAACAAAAAACGAAAGAAAGTTGAAACGTTTTCAAATGAAAGGAAAGACAAAAGATAATAATTGCTTGATTGATTGATTAAACACACACAAACGCAAAGGAAAATTTGAAAGAAAAATTTGGAAAAAAAATGAAATGATTTTTGTTTGTTTGCCCTAAAGTGAAAAAAATTTCAAAAATGCTTGCGGTGTTATTGGAACATGTAACGGTGCTTTTTGAAATGTTGTTTGCGGTTGTTGTCGATTTGTTGGAGCTGTTGCGTTTTGTTCATTTGCATTTGGTTGATTTTGATCCTGATCCTGATCATTTCGTTGTCGTTGTCGTTGAATAACTAATGGATGTTCAAAAAATGGTAAATTCTGTACAATAACCGGTTCGTTTGGTAATTGATTTTGTTGTTGTTGTTGTACATTTGGTGGTATCATTGGTGGACGTTGATTTAATGAATTATTCGCATGATTAAATGCAAGCGATCGTGATCTTAGTATAGCTGCTAATGGTTGTTGTTGTTGTGAATTATTACTGCTGCTTGGATATTTTGTTGAATGATGATTATGGTGTGTTGATTTGAAACCAGTTAACGGTGATGTTACTAATACTTGTCTAGTGAGATCCGGATTCTCTAGGATACAAGGATGATTTTTTGACTGTGAATGAAATGGTGGTGTGAAAAACAAAACAAAAAAAAAAACATTAACAAATTTTGGCCATTAAAAACCGAAACAAAAACAAAAAACAAACCTTCCAAAAAAGACAACGACAATAACGACATAAGAATAGACAATCAGCATATTCTTCTTTTAGGCCAAATTTTCTTTTATTTTTGAAACAAAAAAATCAAAAATCAATGTTTTTCAAATCAAATCAAATTTTAAAAAACAAACTTACTTTCGTAATAAATGAAATAAACGTTCCCAATCTATAATTATTTTTTGATCATTATCATCATTTTGATCGATTATTGGATCAGAATTTTGATCAATTTCAATATTGATATTCATTTTCGTTGATTTTTGTTTGTCATTAGTAGTTTTGTTCGTATTGATTTGTTCAAATTGATTATTAAAATCAATTGAAATCATACGTAATGACCAACGTAATTGATCTTTTGTAAAATGATATTTAACCAATTGTTTCCATATATGTTGTTCTTCATTTAGCAATGAATTCATACGTTGACAAGCTTGTGCTGAACGTTTCAAATCTTTATAATCAGAAAGACGTAAAAGAATTTCTCGTATTAATTCTTCCGGTAATTCTGACCATGATGGTTTTCCATCACCAGGTTTAGGCTATTTTTAAATTCAGACAAAAAAAAATCAGAATTTTGAAATGAAAAAACAAATAAAATCAATTGTAACCAACCGGTGTAATTTCAATAGCATCGGTCATTTCACAAATACGTTCCATTGTACGAAGATGTTGTTCCCATAATGATGTTGAACCTAATGGTCGTCCCCAACATAAATATTTATCAACAATTTCACGTAGTTCAATCAATAATTCACGAATAACATGAATATTTTGCTTATTCGATGCAACTAATTTAATTTTTTTAAAAAAATAATGATAAAACCAGAACAACAACATTAAAAAACAAAAGAAACAAACCTTGTTTAGCGATTTCTTCCAGCATCCAGAATAATGCTTTAGTTGCATTACCACTTAATGATGTTAAATTTTGTGTAATCAACAGATGTAACAGTTTGCTTACATAAGCAAATCTCCGTATATCACGTATTGCATTACAAAAATCTAAACGATAAAATGCATCGGATATTATATTCGAACCTTGTACTTCACGTGTTGGATTCATTGTTATACGATAATATGGTTGTTGATAATAAATTTCAATTTGTTCAGATGATTCTTTTAAAATATCCATTGGTATTGGTTGTGATGATGAACGTTGTAAACGTTGTATAATATCGGCAATTGTAAAACCAGAATTATCATCAGCATTTTGTTGTTGTTCGGAAATTGAATCATTTGATAATGATGATGATGAACCACAACAAGAAGAAGAACTTGTTGTTGTTGTTGTTGTTGTTGCCAATGTTAAACTATCACCAGATTCATGACGATCACGTTTACCTGGTACAGGTACAGGATCAGATGATCGATGATGATTTAAATGATGATTATCGCCACCGCCAACCACAATAACATTATTATTATCATTTAAACCAATCAATATTGATTCATTTTCTGAATCAGAATCTGTTTGCAGACTTTGATTACTATCCAATGATGATGATAATGATGATGATGATTTTGGTGGTGGTGGTGATAATTCAACATCAACAGTTTGATGATCATCAACATCAAAATTAGGTGATGGTGATACGGATGATGATGATGGTAAACTAATTTTGAATAGAAAATTGAAAAATTCAATAAAACATCATGATACAAACACCTACGCCACACATGCAAAAAGAGAACTACATTTTTTTATTATTATTTTTAGAAAATTTTTTCCATCAAAAAAAAAGATGTATTCTCGGATATGATGGTGACTTATTCTTTTCGGTTTGTGAAAAAAAAATCAAAATATCATATTACAATGGATACATTAGATAATCATCATCATCATCATCATAATGATGCCTACACATTCTTTTTCTTTTTTTATTCAATCATCATCAAAGAAGATGTTGATGATATGGTGGTAAGCTTTGGCTATATTTAAATTTTAGATGGGGCAACAAAAAAAACTATATTTCAAAAAAAAAGGTCAATTTTTCAACGCTAAAAAAAAATAAATTACTATGGGGAGATCATCAATATATTCATTGGATTGAAATTCAATCTTAATCGACGAAAAAAAAACGAAGAATTTGAATTAAATCTTTCAATAATAATCCTTGACTTGATAGAAAAATCTTGATTAGCATTTTTTGTTTGAACTGCATAAATTAATACACATATTGCAAATGGTCTATGCATTTCATCATTTCAATAACGTGTTTCGTGATTAATAATAATAAAAAATTGTTTTTTTCATTAATAATCTTGGCCAATATATTTTGATAATCATTACTTTACTGAAAGAAAGAAAACTTTACAGCAAACAAACAAAACAGGAATTATGTTCAATGTTTTTTTTTTCAACTCTTTTTTCTATCAATTTTCTATCAAGTAAAATACTCATAGACAAAAAAGTTTAAATGGCCAAGACACAGGCACAATTAATTGTAATGTGTCACCATTGAAAAAAACTAGTTTTTTTCAATGATAATCTTGAACTGTTAATAATATTACGGTCATCATCATCATCATCATTATTCTTTGGAATAGGAAATTAAACTTACCAATCATCCATATGATGATAATGTTGTTGTTGTTGTTCATGTCGTTGTAGTTGTTGTTCACGTAGTTGTTGTTGTTGTTGTTGATAAACAACATGACGAACAAAATGTGATTTACGTAATAATTTCATTGGTTCCCAACCTTCAATAGTTTTTATCCATACTTCACCGGGTGAACGCCAATCTTGACCAATGAATGGCATTTTTTTAAATAATAATGTTGTTCGGTTTGTTGGTTGCTTTAATTGACTTTAAAACACAAAAAAAAAACAGGAAAAAAACAGTCAAAATTTTTGCAAAATAATCAATCGATCGATGATGATGATGTTTTTGGACAAAAACAAACAAAACCCAAAAATCAAAAAATCAAAACAAAACAAACAAATTCTCATTCAGATTCTATATAGAATTCATTTATATAGTGTGAGTGTGTAGATAGGAAGTTTTTTCATTTCTGTCGAAAATCTAAACAGAATTTGAATTTATTATATAGTGGTCGTCGATGAAGATCATCATCATCATCGACCATATGATGATGATTCTATGGTCGTCGTCGTCGTCTGAATTATTCTACGTCTTAAAACGATTCTTATATGTTTGTTTATTATATAGCTAGTTAGAGTTGGAAATAATAAGCTCGTGATTATCATCGATAATGAATCATTTCTTGATCTTTTCTTCGTTTTCTTTCTACAAATGAAAATTCACATGGTAATCATGTGAATTTTTGGAAATAGAATCCAATTACGATGATGTAAATCGAGTTCGTTTGTTGACTCATCACCATATTCAAGTTCAAGAATTCTTTTCTCGTTTAAAGATTTCTTGGCAAGCATTTCTTTCTTGGCAAAATTTTTAAATTTAGAAAAAATCAGGGAGAGGGTGTGTGTATGTGGTGTTTAGGCAATATCGTCAGAAATAATCATCATTTGATTTGAATGGATGCCAAAAACAATAAAAAAAAAGATTAAAATCTCAAAAATGATGATGTTTTTACATCATCATAATTGATACGATTGCGTCATTTTTGTTGATTTTCAGAAAAATTTTGATTTAAAATATTCATTTCAAATTTTCAAATTTACCTTGAGCAAAAAGAAATATTGAAAATTGTTTATCCAATTATGAGATGCTTGACATTCGATCAAATGTTTGGCTGATCGAAATCAATCACAATGATAATGACGATGATGATGAAGATGTCCAAAAAAACAAACAGAAATCTTTTATCAAAAGCAAAAAACAAACCAAAGTTGATTCGGATCACAACGTAGTATTGCAATGTTTTTGGTTGCTGGTTACATTCAACTTTATGTCAAAAATGATGATAATATCGACGATGTTGACGACGACGACGAACAATAACCTTTCTTCTCGGATAATAATAATAAAAAAAATTATACGGAATTCATTCAGAAACAAAACAAAAAACAAAGATTTTACGACGCATCAATTGTCATTCATTTTTCACAAACAAACATTGATTTTGATTTTGGATTTTGTTTTGTTTTCAAGATGAATGATCGTTGTTTTCTCGGTGGACAACGACATACATTTCAAAAACATAATTATAATCCCAAAGCCATCATCGTAAAAGAGATCTTTTCTCTCTTTTTGTTCAAAGTTTTTTTAATCTTTGGATCCGAAAAACTGGATCTTTTTGCTGTTTCTGGACGAAGAAAAAATGAGAGAAAAATTTTTATTATTCTTTTGTTGTTGTTTTCGAACACTGCGCACAACAATGTTTACTTGTTTTTTTTCGTTTTACGCATGCGCAATAAATTAAAATCGATAAAATCATATGTCGTCATTTGATTTTGCGAGATTTACAAATTTTTTTTTCATTTTAATTTTTTTTAATTACAAGGAAAAAATTTCAATTTTGATCTAAATTCCTGATTTGATTTAACAATGACTATGTGATCATGATGATTGAATCAATGATTAAATCTTTCCGGTAATTTAAAACCCATCATTTTAGCTGTTTCATCAACACTACGTTCAGATTTTCCATAATATTTTGCCAGTAATTGACGATATTTTTCACCTGAATCTAAATAAGTACGATATGATTGTCCCAAATAACGTAATTCATTTGGTGCACGACAAATACGTTGATCAGTTATTTTATTTTGTCGAACTGTTTGCCGAATTACTTCAAACATTGGTGATTCGCTTACTTTTCCCTGTTTTGAATGAAAAATTTAGTTTTTTTTCACCAAAAAAAACAAACAACCGACGAAATACCTTCATCTGTCGACGAAGTGTTCGACAAATTGATCGAACCAAAAATAATGTTTCATTTAATTGATTACTTGATGCCATGATTACACGATTCGAACACAAACAAAAACAAAATTAACAAAGGTCAATCAACCAAACCCATGTCAGTCGAAATAGTGGACGAAAAATATTTTTCAAAAGATTTTTTTCTTTTAAAAATTTTTTTTTATTTTTGAAAACAAATTATAACACTGAAGATGGAAAAATAAATCAAATGAAACAAACGAAACAAAAGTAAAAAGAAAATAAACCATTATTCATTTTGATAATCTTCGGGGCCCTTGGTTGACTAGTGTGATTGGTTTTCACCATCCATCCATCCATTCAATCGATTTAAGAAAAGAAAAATTATTGCCTATATTCAATCATCACCTGGAACAATCGGTATTTCATTAACATCACTGGCCATCGATGCATTTGGACTTGATATTTTCGGATTCGTATTATTCTGTATGATGAGAATAGAAATTGTTAAAATAGTCGAAATAAAAAAAAGAAAATATTTACCGATTTAGTTGGCCGCGAAAATATCAAAATTTTACCATCATGATTAGCAATTACAATTGAATCTTTACGAAATACTAATGATGTAAGACGTTCATTGGAAATTTTTTTACAAACATGTGGCTCTAACATTGGTACTTCTTTTAAACGTGGACAAATAATAGTACCTAATAAACGTGATGGATCACAATTTGAATCAATATTGTTTGTATCATTATTATGATGATAATGATGATTATGATGATGGTGATGATTTTGATGATTTAATGGTGTACCACCACTTGAATGATCATTCATTGATGATGATGAAGATGTTACATCGTCATTATTATTGCCTAATTGATGATGATTTTTTGATGTCGTTGAAGAATCAGATTTCAATTTTGATGTTAATGAAAATCCAACAACCATTGATTTTTTATGAACACCTTTTTTCAGGCTATTAAAAAAATTATGATGATGATGATTATTATTGCTATTATTATGGTTCGATGTTGATGATGTACTAAATAATTTTAATGATGTTCGATGATTATTTGATGTTGTCGATGTCGTCGTTGTCGATATAGTTGTCTGCGGTGTTGTTGTTGCTGTTGTTGATAATGATGATGATGATGATAATAATGTTGATGATGATGGTGGTGGTGGTGGTGGATGTCCAACAATACCCGATGTACTTATTGTTGAACGTGATCGTGATTTTATTACTGTTGATTGTCTAATAATATCATCAGTCAGATCCCATAAACATATTTGTGTATCCTGGCCAACTGAACCAATACGATAATTTGTAAATAAACGTAATTCGGCTGTATCATTCGTAGATTTTGTCGTCGCTGTTGATGATTGTATAACACTATGATGACGTGGATGAATTTCATTTAAATCTTTTCTTTTAAATTGTTGATCATTACCATCACCATTATCATTATCATTGACATAATCTTCACCATTTTCTTCATCATCATCATCATCATCATTATGATAATTTGAATTTTTTGCATCAGTCATAAATGGATCAAAACGTACAGAATTTATCCATGATTTATGTCCCTGTCCTCGGGCTATAACACGTTTATCTTGTAATGACCATACTGTAATTAGATCATCTTCACCACCGGTAACAATAAATTTTGAATCAGGACTCCAACCAACACACAATAGGCCACCAAAATATGATCTCATCCTACCGATAAGATCCATTTGATCATAATAAAATACACGTAAAAAACCATCTTGCGAAACGATAGCCAAATATTTTCCACATGGTGAAAATGAAAATTCATTTATAGCCGATTGATTAGAAAAATATTGACCATTATTATTATTCCAATTATTATGATTCATATTCATATTATTCATTTGATTTTGATTATTTTGATTAATCGATTGACCAATTGACCAACGAAATATTGGATTACGTGGTTGCCGGGTTTTACAGGTAAATATTTGAAAACCATCACCACATTTATATTGTTGATAATTTGGTGCGGTTTGAAAACAAGGTAAATCTTTTTTATAAACATACATCTGACCCGAACTATATGATACAAGAAAATTTGTTTTCGATCGAGGTAACCATCGTATACAGGTTACTTTTGATTTATCAATTAATCTCTGGTTTTGGGAAAAATTTTTCATTAGAAAAACGAACGAACGAAAGAGAAAAATCTCTTACCTCTTGATTATAAAATTTACTAATTTCTGTACGATAAAAATCAATCATCTGTATTTGGCCTAATGAAAAACCAATCAATAATAATGATATTGGTGGTTCAATATATGTACAAAAATCATGACATGTTGGTGATGTTGCCTTGTATGTTTTACGATCAATTAATTCGGCTGGTTCAGGTGGCTGATGATAATCAATTAGACAAACGAAAAAAAATCAATTAAAAATCAACCAAAAGAAAATTATTTTTTACCTGAAAACCAAAAACAAACAATTCACGTTCACTATTGAAACAAATTCTTTCCTGTATTTGATGTTGATAATGGTTATGATGATGATGATGAATATGATGACTATCCGGAAAAATTCTTTGATGGTGATGATCATTGATCTTTGAATTATCCATGTCTAAATCGGTTCCATCATGATCAACATCGTGATCACCGATAACCGTACCATTTGTTGTTGGTGATATTAAATGTTCAATCGAATTATTCGAATCTTGATTCAATAATGTTCGAAATTTTGTAAATGATATCCGTACTAATGGTATATTTGAACTTTGTCCATTTGGACCATTATTAGAATTATTTGATGATGATGATTGTTGTTGTTGTTGTTGATGATTATGATTATGATGAAAATATGGTGATGGTTTTGGCCGTCCATAATCGGATGGTTGTATTAAACGATATAAACCTTCACGTGTTATTAATTGTGTTTTAATTTCATTATTATATGATGATGATGATTGATCCTGTTGTTGTTGTTGTTGTTGCGATTGTTGTTGTGTCGATTGTTGTTGTTGTTGTTGATGTAAAGATTGTTGATGTTGAAGATTCATCATCATGACTGATGATTGATGCATTCAATTTTAATGATGATAACCACAACGAAGACGATTATTGCTCATTTAATTTCAAGAAAGTTTTTCGGGAAATTAACCAAAAAAAAAAACTAATTTTCACTTTTGTTGAATCGAAGACATTGAATTATTTGGTTGATCATCATCATCATCAACACATCATCCACACATCCAAAATATCCGATGTTGATGAGCGGTGTTATTATTTTTGTTTTACGATTTTTTTTCTTATCAACAACAACAACAACAAAAAAAAAACATTCGAAATCCACACCAGTGCTGCCATCTTTCGAATAGTGTTGAAAATTTTTGAAAATTTAAAAATTTTACCGCCAAAAAAATTGTTCAAATTTTTCAATTTTTTTGACGTTTTGCGTAAATTTTCAAAATTTCCAACTTGAAAAAACAAAGAGGAAAAAAACGTTCCAAATATGAATCAATGTTTGCTTTTTGTTTGTTTTTGTTTTTCATATTTTGGATTTTCTGATGAGAAAATTTCCAGAAAAAACAAAACAAAACAAACATGATTTATGAAATTTGTCATTTCTTTTTTTTTGTTCTCAATTAAATCGGTTCAATGATCATCATCATCAACAACAGCATTATCTTATCTTAACTAAACCATTACCATCAATCAAAACCATTAAATCCGTTATCGATCAATCAATCAATCAAGATCAAGATTTTTTTTTTTTGTAAAAAAGGTGCGAAAATAACTTTGAAAAAACCAGGTCGATAAACACACATTATCATTAAATGAATGAATGAAAATCAATTAAAAAAAAACTAATTTTAAAATTTTAAAAAACTTCACCAAAATCAAGATTAATCTTCAATTTTTTCGGATAATAATAACAATCATTATTTTTATGAATGGCTCATCGCTGCTCACTACCACTCCCACTATTACCACTCCCATTCCTCCCATTTTCGAACGTTTTGAAAAAAAAAATCATTCGACCATTTCGAACACACACACAAAACACCGAGTTTGAATTTTGCGTTAAATCTTTTCTTCGGCGACGACCAAAAATTATCTTCGAAGACGACGACGACGATTTCGTTTCAATTCAATTTAAAATTGTTATTGTCGTAATCATTCGAATGAATCCGTGTGAACATTTTCAATGATAATGATAATAACGATGATGATGGTGTAATGGTGTAATGGTGGATGTTCCAGTTGACTTGAAATGAACAACAACAACAACAACAATTGATAATTGTCACGAATTATGACATGTATCTGATGATGATGATGATCATTTTATTTTTTCTTTTGTCACCGAGACACAGTGAAAAAAAAATCTCATCACCTAGTTTGTTATGAAAGAAAAAAGTTCTTCTATTTTTATCTCGAAAAAAGTTTCGATATTTGGTAACAATCGACGATGGTGATGAACGATTATTTGTATTGAAAAAAAAATTTAATTAATAGGAAAAAGGTCAATGTTTTGATTCGTCCATCACCCATCATCATCATAACCGAAAATTATTTTTTTGCAAAATTGAATTTTGATCAACAACAATCTTTCTAATGGTGATGATCCAGAATGAAAGAAAAATTCAACTGAATTTTCGCACGATTTTCTGGAACAATGTCAACAAATTTCAAAAAAATTATTTGACCGAATTGATAATGAAAAAGAAGAAAATTTTCATTGTCAAAAGGTTAGCTCTATTTTTTTCACACAAAATATTTTTTCTTAAACGTTTTTTGGTCACATTTGCATCAAAGATACGGACGAGAGAAATGTTTCGGAAAGAAAATGTTTCAGAAGTTTTGTTTTCATAAAATTCGAAAAAAAATTCCCGATTGTATCGAATAGAATATTTTACACAATCGTCCATTACATCGATCATCGATTCTGACCTCCATCACTTTACTCCAATCAATCATATCACATCCTATTTTTGTAATTTATTTTGGTTTTTTTTTCAAAAAAAAACTAGAATAGAAATCATTGATGGAATGACATAAATGAATCAACACCACCAAAAAAAAGAAAAAAATACTGATTCAAAGAAAAAAGAAAAACTTTTGTTTTGATGAAATAGATTAATCATCATCATCATTGTTTATCATCATCAAAGGTTTATCTTTGTGTAAGTAATTCTCTTAGTCAAAATCAAATCAAATTTCAATCCTTTTTTTTCTGTTCATTGTTATCGTCGTCTTCGTTTATTTTCATTTTAGGATTTTTTTTTCAAAAAACAAAAAAATCCAATTCAATTCCAGCATTCAGCCATTTTCAATCCAGAAAAAACAATACCTGTTGCTGTTTTACCTGCAGGTAAAGAAAGGTGCGAAACAAAAACAAAAAAAAAATTATTAATTTTTTTCAAAAATAGCATCATCATCATCATCATCGAACAACAACAAACATTATTATCATTGAAAATCTTGAATTTCAAATTTTGAAAACCAAAAAAACAAAACCAAACCCCTATATCATCTTATCTATAGGTAAGTGTTGTTGTACCACCACAAACGACCTGGAAAAAAACATTTATTGTTGTTGCTGGGCCATTTTTTTGAATTGTATTATTTTTTGAAATGTTAAACTCAGCTTGAAACCAATACGATTGATGAATTTGTTTTTTTTGTCCAAAGTCTAAACTACCACCATTATTATTATTATTATCATCGTCACCATGGTTAAGAGCAGCATTGTGATAACAATAGATTTTTCGTTCTGGATGCTGACAACATGATGATGATTTGGAATGATAAATCGATATCGATCATCCACAATATCCATATGATGATGATGATGATGAGGGTAATCCTCCCAACAACAACAACAACAAAAAAGAAGTTATTTTTTTCAATTATCCTTGGAAATTTTTTTTTCCTGTTCTAGATTTGCTGCAAACAACAGAAATACCAAAAAACCTACGGTTTCCTCATCATATTCAATTCAATTCATTCATTTATTCAACCCAGAAAAAAAATAACCGAAAAACAGAAAAATCAAAACAAAAAAAAAATATATGTTTTCTGTTTGTGTGTGATACATCAATTAATCAACCGTTTTGTGTGGAATACTCCGGGAAAAAAACATTCGAAAAAAAACATTCGATTCTCTTTTGACATAATCGGGTAAATTGGTTAATATAGTATGGGGGAAAAAACTGTTATAACATTTTTTCTTCTTCGGAAAAAAACTATATCCACCTTTCTCTCTCTCTTTCTTTATCTCTCGTTTACTATTTCAACAAAATAGGATTGGACCGATTTTATATAACCGATATTATCATCATCAACAGCTTGAACGAAGAAAAAAACATCATTTATTAAATGATGGTCAAACAAACAAAAAAAAAAGTGAAGAAGAAACTTCTTCTGTCTCTATGTTTTACGATGGATGGATGGTGTCTAGGTCAAGTTCAGGCTTATAACATCATTTTCCATTTTGCAAGAAAAAATTTTTCATTCATTTCATTTCGAATGATATGGATATCATCATTATCATCTTTGCTTTTTCTATAGATTGGAAGAGAAAAAATGTGTAAATCATTTTTTTTTTCGGAAAAAAAACCTATCACATCATTATCATTTTAACCATACCCCATTTGGAATTGAATTTGAAGAAAAATGTTGATGATGATGCGGATATCGAAGTGTAGAGAGAGGGAGAGAGAGCATCTTCGACTCGAATATCTCTAATCTTTGATCGTATTATTATCAATGAGGTAGGTAGGAAATTATTATTTAATTCATTTTTCGTTTTTTTTTTGAATTCAATTTGTCGTGAAAAATAATGATATGTAATGAATGAATTTAAAAAAAAATCATCTATTTTAACCTATTAATGGTCATATTTCCGGTCTATATAATGTCGAAATAGATTCAATGATATTGTTTTTTGATTTTTTGATAAAAAATGCTGATGACAATGATCATCATCTTCAACACTCATTCAACCTGACCTTGCTCTATCAACCTTTGACCTTTTCTTAAAGATTTTAAAATGATGACTATAATGATGGTGATTATCCAGCATGGGTCGTCGGATGTGAAAATTATTCACTCATTCTATTTCTACCCAAAAATAAAAAAAACAATAGGTAAAAATAGGAAAAGAAAGAAAAGAAATTCAATTTTTCGCTGACCATAATTACCAAATATCAAAAAAAAATCAAACAAGGTCAAATTTCAATTATTATTTTTCGTTGCCTAAGACTATTTTCCTGAAGAAAATATTGGTGTCCAAGATTGGTCAAAAATGGTCAATGATCAGTTCAGTGTGTGTACTGTTGTTGGTATGGCAACAAGTGTTTCATTCAAACAATTTTCTGATGATGGTGATAAGGTTGGTTCGCCCAACATTCTTTTCTTCCTTTTTTTTCTTGTGTCGTAGGGTTATATGTATGAATAAGGTTACAAGGTCAACACTGTATTTTCATTCATAGAATAGAATAGATTTTTTTTTATTGTCCAAAAAAAATATTTGGTCAAAGTTCATGACAATAATAATCGAAATTTTTGATCAGCGAAGCTTTTCGAAACAAAACAAAAAGATTTTTTTTCGCAGATAAAATAAATCAAAAAAAAAAAAAGAAAAAATACCGAAAGTTCTCAGGTGGACGACTACTCTCCTGAATCTCAAACCCTTCTTAACTCTTTTGTTTAATAATGTGAAAAAAAATTTAGAAGAAATTTTTCACACACGCACACCTGTTGAATTGTCACCACCACCACTAAATTGAACTGAAATTTTTTCTTTTCTATCAAGTCGGAATCTCATCAAACAATTTTTTCGTTTGCAAAAAAAAATGAAAGAATTTCTTTTTTTCGGTCATAAAAAAACCAGAAAAGATCTTATCTTGTTGTTGGCAACGAAATTAAATGGAAAAAAAACAAAATTAAAACTTGAAGCGATTAAAAATTGTAGAGAATTTTCCCGGAAAACCAAAGGTGTTTTTGACGAAAATCTTTTTTTTCTTTTTCCCATTTCTTATTTATTTAATCGTGACTAGAATTTATTTTATGATGATGATATTCTTAATATTTTTTTTTAATAATAACAATAATTATAATTATG